TCCACACGGTGTACCCACAAACCTTCTCTCAGCCTAGCCTCCATCATGCAAACTTTCAAATCTTACTGTCAGACTGGCCCTCTGATGGTCTCCTCAGCCTCCATTGATGTTCATGAAGAACAGAATGCTGAGTATTCAAAGTGTGGCAAAAATGCAAACCAAGGAAACACTGTGAATGTGACAGTAACTTACTGGCCCCTTACTGACCATATTTACATGTATCTCTTTTGCCTCACCTCTTAAAAAAGCTGAAAAGACAAATTGCATTCAATCCTGATGGCAGAATTTACAGCATCACCATCATCTTCAATGCTTGAAAAGAGAACTTACAGTCACTGCAGAAGACAGACATCTCCTAGATGGACAGTACATGTTCTTTCCACTCTCACTACCATCTCTGACCATCTCTGCTTCTATCCGCTGGACACCAAGAACCCTAACAATAACGAAAACGGAAAAAATGGAAAAATAGGAAGGTCTCATGTTTTCTGTTAAGAAAAACTATTTCAGCTGCACATTAGGAGAACAATTTGTCGTAACACAGCACAACTGGCTAGAAACTCTGCCAGACACGTCAGTCTGCATCGTTTGTCAAAGTGGCTTGCCTGCCCAGTGTAACAAGATCCAATAAGTCAACTCTCCCCATGGCCAAAGAGCATGGGAGTCTGTGGTTGCTAGTCACCAAAAGATCCAACAGTGGCATTGTTCAATGGGACTAGCTCCCACTGTCTCAACATGGCATGTTTGGTTGGCTGCTGTTGATTGCCCCGTGGAGCTACAGTGCACCAGACTTTACACTTGGGCCAAAATTTGCAGAATTACTAAACACTTAGCAGAAAAGCTGCTCATTAGTGTAGCAAAATAGTCTGCTTATAAATTCATAGCATTACTTGCATGGTTGTGCTTACGCAGCACGAGAATAAAGTTTTGCACTGTTACATGTACATCACTAAGTTTTAAGAACACGTTCTTCCTCCAAGGTAAATGTACATGTACCTTCTGCTGTGCTCACTGCTTACAGTCCCTATGAAATACGCCTAACCTCTGTAGACTTAACATTGTGTGCTTATAATGAGCAACGCCAAGAAATTGGGCCCTGTTGCTCTATGCTGGTCTGCCAGGTTTTTTAGTTCAGCAGGGTTGGCAATGTGATGGTATTTTTTCTCTGCTTTTATTTCATAGACTGCAGGCCCTTCTGACTTCACAATCTGACCATCTTCTTGCCTGTGCATTTGAACATATCTATATGAAATTTGCGCTTCATAAATGAATATATTATTATTATTATTATAAGAGTCACTCGGTAGAAGAGATAAGCATAATCACCGCGGTGGATGATAAATACAGGAAAGTGACGCGGGTCGACCCAATTAAATTTTGGTTCCAGACAGATGAACTTAATAAACACATTTACAAAGGATTCGGCCCATGAAAAGAGTGACATCTGAAACCAAGTCACTCTGGTGTCTTTCCAAGTGCCTTCAAGTGTCCATCTTTTGCCTGCTACATGTAGCATGCCTGGTCGCTACTAATTGTTTCAGATGTCAAACATTTGCCATATACTTCATTCAAAATTTGCTAGAACACCTGTCAGAAACAGGTGTTACTCTTGAAGTGGGCATACATTTCGTCTGTGGTGCATTGCAGGAGTATTCTTTAAAAGTGAGAACAAAAATTGTTGCTGTCACCAAGTCTGAACAATAAGCATGACTACTTAAACTTGGTATTCTTTCCTGATCTGGTTAGCAGACCTACTGTACATGAACATGTGCTATGAAGGCTTGCTAAGCACTGTCAATATACATGTATCAATATCATCAATATGAGTTTGATATAGATATCGTCGATGTTAGTTATTTGGAAAAATCCATATCGGAATTTGGAAATATCGGAATTTGGAAAAATATCAAAAATATTGAAAACCTCAAACACATCGAGATTGAAAAATATATCCAAAATATCGCTACTGAGGAGTAAACTTTATTAAAAGTACGGAAGTGCGTCGTCACATTACGGTAATTTTCGATAAGCTTTGGCTTACGTTGGCTGTCACGCTGAGTGAAAAATTTCCCTGTACATGTACATGTAGCTTATACTCCGGGCGGTTTATACGTGTACGACGACATTTGAAGAATAAATTCAGTCACCTATCTCAGTCTCTCACTCAATCATTCGTGTACACTTTGCCTCCAAAGTATCAAAAAATTTATCCTCAAAAGCAGAGAATTATTTGCAAGCCAAATGTACGTAGACTAGCACCACGTGCTGATGAATGGCAGCGTGTATCCCATCCCATGTAGGCAATGTACGCAATAGGGCGCTAGTACATGTACATGTTGCCAAAGTGAATTGGATCACACCATTAAGGTGTATGGGTCTACCCTTGGAACAATGTACCAGCAATTTATGCCTGTTGTTCCTTGAAAAATTGAAATGAATAAAATTCAATGTTAAAAAAGTATCAGTATCGGCCAAAATACGATATCACGATGCCTTGGGCTTGCCGTTGATTTTCTCTGGTGTCCACCCTTGCTTCAACATGCAAATGGAATCTGTAATGACTTCACTCAAATCTATGATTTTGAGTTTCTTCATAAAGGTCTATAGTCATCATTTCAACTGTAACTAGGTTGTAGAGATATATCCGTAACAGTACAACGCGAGAACAAGTGTGGAACACATGTACATTCTCCATTCCTTTGCACACTGCCTGGTTGAAAATAAGGTAAACACACTAATCTATTTAAACCCAAACAGCTGCATACATGTATGTGTACATGTATTAAGTTTATTTCGTAAACAGAAATACACATGTACATACATGTACATGTACACATACATGTATGTTATTTCACACAGGGTCAATCATTGATTATGCTGAAGTGCACCTGCACATGTATACAGGAGTATACATGTATGTACATGTAAATGCAGCTGCACCCTTGAATCCATGAAGTACATGTACTGTGTAGCACCATCAAATACATGTACATGTATGTAACATCCTCCAAGATCAACAAATTTTGATGTTGTAATAGCGCACGTACATATTGTACATGTATACATGTACTGTAGTGATCTTGGGCAAATCAGTAGAGTAATGAATACATACTATGTACATGTACATGTAACAATCTTGGGTTAATCAGTACATTCTCATGGTCAGTACATTCTCATGGTCAGTACATTCTCAATCTCATGGTCAGTACATTCTCATGGTCAGTACATTCTCATGGTCAGTACATTCTCATGGTCAGTACATTCTCATGGTCAGTACATTCTCATGGTCAGTACATTCTCATGGTCAGTACATTCTCATGGTCAGTACATTCTCATGGTCAGTACATTCTCATGGTCAGTACATTCTCATGGTCGGGATGACGTCACTGATTCTTGATTTTTCTCTCTGATTGGTCAATTGGTGGCTACTCCATATTTCACACTCGAAATTT